GGACCATCCCTTTCTGGCTCCGAGTGGGCCACCAAAGGACTTTGAAGCTAGCAGGCTCAAGTGCTGCAGCCTAAGACAAGCGTCTAACCCTGAACCTGAAGACCCAATCTTTGAACAACCTGCACGGATCTCAAAGACGGATCTGTATCGAGCTGGGGTTTGCAGACAACGTCGTGCCAGGGCCATTGCCTATACATGTAATTATATACATCCCAGCAAGAGCTAGCAGGAATCATAGGCAAATGCCATGCAGGCTCTGCTCAACAACTCGTGGGTACCTTGCGCAGGGTGGACGCATGGGGTGTGCCCGGTGAGGATGAGACATGAGCGAATCATTCCTGCGTTCCAGTTAAGACCAGGAAGCCAGCATCAGCTGAAGAAAGCTCTCCTCGGGTTTAATCGGCCATGGGTAGCTCAATGAACAGTTTATAACGGTACTGTTTGAGAGCCAAGCCACCTAGAGAAAAGCAGAAGAGCTACTGCACGTGACCTAACACAAAACGCTGGCATGCAACCTTCAAGCTCTCGGCCCCGTCGAGTTGCATCTCAATTTTCCCTGCGGAATCCTCTTTTCTGAACGTTTGGAACTTTCAGGCTGAGGGCTCTGAGGCTCTGAGACTTAGAGGGCCGGCTTTTTGCCGGAATGGGCTTCCGAGATGCAATCAATCCTGGTTGGGAAGTGCGGCCGCAGGGTGCGATTCCGTGGAGAAGTCCTTGAAAGTACACAAATGGCAGAGCTGGAATCACCGGCGATCCTGCGTCGGATTACGGAATGCCGGCACAAAGCTTCCGAGCTGCGCTAGGGCTTCCAACTTTCAAGCTGAGTTGTGGGGCTCTGAGACTTAGCGGGCCGGCTTTTTTGCCGGACTGGGCTTCCAAGATGCGACCAATCCTGGTTGCGAAGTGCAGGCCAAGACCAAAGCAGCAAAGCAAAGCTTTGCAGAACTTCTTGGGCCGCTGCGCACTGTGAAGCTGCAGCTGCCCCGTTGAATGCCCGCAGTTGGCTGCCAAGGGTGTGTCCAAGCTCTCATTGTTCCCGGCGCTTTGCTGTCGAGTTGCAACAAATGTAATCATAGAAGATAATAATGTGCCCTCTCCAATGACCTTCCCAGGCGACATCGTCAAGCGCAATCGCTTTTGACGTCCCATGACTGTCCCTAGCCCGGGTTGCCACAGCTTGGAGACGCTAGGTTGCATTTGTCAATGGCTCAACGGCCGCAGGGTGTGAACAAACCTTCGATTCTGTGGAGAAGCCATTGAAAGTACACAAATGGCAGAGCTGAAAGTCAGCATTGGGATAGCACGACAGATCCGCTCTGAAGGAGTACAGGGCGCGTAGAGTGCTGAATTTGTTATGCATCACGCGGCCACAACCACAGCAAGCATCTAAGTCTAAGCAAGTCAGGTCACCTCGGCCCGTCTGGTGGGGGTCACGTGCTCCGGAGTTTCCTTTCGGCGTGGCCGCGAAGTGGCCCTAAGCCTTAGGGCCTAATGCATCTTCACAATCCAGCGGATCGATTTCAAGTCCCTCTTCGCTTCAATCCAGCCGTTAACCAGTGCCTGGCTCACGGGCAATCCTGCGTCAGATTGCACGCAGGAGGGAGCAGGCGCAGAGAGGTGCACAGCTCCCTGGCACCTCCGGGGCTCGTGCAAGCGGATGCGAGCAGCAAAGCCTCTCTAGCATTCTGCGAACCAACAGCATCGTGGGGAACTGCTAGAGTGGATTCAGCGGCACATCTGGACTGTGCGGCATGAGAAGGAGGAGAGGCAGGACAAGAGGTGCGACAGCACAGAGCTCAGACGGGTTGATGTCTCAAGGCTCGTGCCGTTCTGTGGCAGGAAGAGTCTCTTGAGAAGCCCCGCGCGGAAGAGAAGGCGGCATGTGGCAGGCGTCTCATGAAGTCCCAAACTTTGGGCAGAAGACGAGCATGTGCCGAACGGGCACGGTGAAACATTTCACTCGAGACACTTGATGCACTGAATGGCTCGATGATGCTCGGTGGGTTTGCTGTCGTTGTTTGCCAGGAAAAAAGGAGAGCGACATAAACACACACAGGGAGACAGAGAGCGAGGGAGCAAGGAAGGAAGGAAGAGATAAGAGTTCTGCTAAGCTTTGTGACCCTAGTCTGAAGGGCTTTGTGTTTCACAGCGGTGCCAGGGTGCCGGTCGGCAATGCACCGATGGAGAGCCAACCCCAGGACATGGAGTAGGGAAGTGTTCCTGGCCAATGGATGTTGCACGAGGCTTGGGGGACTGGCTACAATCGGAAAACAACCCGGCAATGGTGGGCGAATGCGTTTGAGGTTGAGCAGAGAGCCGGACTAGTCGTCACGAGACTCGGAGAGCTGACACTGCGCGGGGCAGTGGATCTCGGAAGCCGCACAGAGTTTTAAAAAGGCGGGGACCTGGTGCCAAGAGCCTGAATACATCTTCCACGGCTCGCTTTTTGCGCTGTTTCACGCCGGGCAAACTTAGGCATTTGCAGAAGCTACAGGTGAGTCCTCTACTCCTCGGAGTGAACCCGAGAGCAAAGTTTAGAGATGTGTTGCGGACAGGCTCTCGGACTTAGAGGGAAGCCGCAGTGCAAACAGAAGCTCCTAAGGCCCTAAGACTTCCGAGACTTCAGAGCACATAGGCATCTGGCTGAGCCACTGCCACATTGGGACACGCCGGGTGGGATCCTGCTAGGGTCTTCAAACACTACAACTTCTTGTTTTAACGATATTTGCTGCAGCCTCAACTTCGAAGCACCTCTTAGTTGCATTGCACTTCGGGTAAATTTCGGTTTAGGGCTTCCGGGGATCCCTAAGCCAGAGAGGACTGAGTCCTCTGCCAGGCAAGCAATTGCAGGGCTCAAGCTACCTCGAGAGCCCAGGCTAAGGCAGGTGACGGCTGCAGGGACGCGGTCGTGAAACGAAGTGCTGCAAAGGGCCGGTCGCACACGCAAAGGGACCACGGGCCGGGCCAGCGTTCTGGGCCGACTTTTGCACCCAGTACTGCGTACACCCACAGTTGGTAGGACACCACAACCAGCTTTAGCAAGATAATGGCAAATTCGACTACATGAGCGCAAGCTCATGGGACGTCGAGATGATACCAGCAGATCCTGACCGTGTGTCAGAGACAGACACTTCAGGCAACACAGGCAAAGGCGGAACCGGCTACAAGCGGCCACAATGGCACGGAATGGATCGACCTCGCGTGCGAGTCATACGCTGCCGCGAGCCTGGAAACCTGATTTTGCCGCTAAGCCCAGCTCAATAGCCGCTCTCGAGGCTCTGGCTTCAATGCCTGTGATATCGGACGTTAGCACTCTGTTTCCAGAAAGAGGACATTCGCCTCGCGTGCCAAGGCTCAGATTTATTCGGCAAATGCGGAGAAAGCACGGCTGTGGCCTCACCTACAATGCTACAATTATCAAGAGTTTCCTGCCCCCTCACCTGATGGCCATCCCCCCGGGAGGCTGATGTCTTTCGCCTATTAACTTTGGGCTATTCGGTCACGAAAAGATTCGAAGCCTGGAACGGCAAGAGGTGTTTCCGGAAGCTCGCCTCCAGCTAGATACTGATATGGATGATCTCAGAGAAGATGTCCCTGAAGCAGCCAGCAGCCCTTCGATGTTGATCCCGACGTTCGGCCCGAGGGGCCCTACAGCGAGCTTCCAATGTCAGCCTGACAGACGGCAAAGTTCGGGTAATCGAGTTCGGATCCTCTTCACACGGTTACCCCATCCTTCTCCAAAGAGTGCACACGGGTGGAGCCTTGTACGGCTTTGAAACATATGCCAAATGTAAGGGAAGTGATATAGTAACGACTGTAGCCCCTGCGTCGACATCCAACCCCTTACTGCAACAGTGTTCCCTTTCTCTGATTATTCAAAAGTCCCTGAAAACCACCCCTAAGGCTAGGTTCAAGCAAAATATGGCAAAGTCACAGTCCAACTACGGCTGATTTGGGGCATGTTTCTTGGTTCTGGAAAGGGCGGAGGGACGGGAACCTCATCGGAATGCGGGGAATCCTGGAGCTCTCTCGCTCTGCTTCGTTACTCTGCTCCAAGCTCTCGCAGCACTGATAGGAACCCAGAGATATCAGGGGGATTACTCAGAGATGCCATGGGGCCCTGTTTTTCCCCTCTAGTAGCACGGACGAGGCCCGCATAAACAGTTAACAGCAGAATTCACTTATCGAAGCCTCTTACAATACCCGGCTTCTGGACAACTTGTTGGGCCAAAAGCCCAGAATGCAGAATGCGACTTCTGTAATTACAGGGCCTGTGGCATAGCCGCTGCTGCGCGCGAGTGGCGCTTCGACAACACAAAAAACTGTCGCGAAGAGCTCATGGGTTCCAGGGAGTATCGTCTTTCTCACGAAATAGTGGGAGATGATGCGATGGGAACCACGTGCAGTACAGTAGTAAAGCTGCGAATCTATCGAATGTCGAGATGTGCTCAAACCTGACAAACTCGGAAAATATCGCAGAAGGTCAACGGGATGTTATGTTGAACTGAAGACTACGATACGTGATTGGACCCGTGCTCAAAGATCATAAACTATTCGCCAAGCTTGGGTGCCTGCGACGTAGCACCTCGGTGATAGCCAGAGGGTGCCAAAGAGCACACCATCGGCCAGGCGGCACGTGGCACATGACACTTCGGTGATGAACCACTTCCGCACCTTGAAAACAACACACTGAAAGATACAGTGTTGCAGCCTGAAAAATTGCCGATACCATCGTTATGAGGTACCGTATTATTGCTATTGCAATTGCTGTCATTGCCATCACCGTTACACCAAAAGCCATGGGTCAGCACTACTAGGACCAGGAAGCTTCCAGTATCCTGCCGTCCCAACCTCTACATGCTCATGACTTTCAATGTGGCTCGACACCTGACTCAGAACGGGTCTTCGTTTTGAACAGCCCAAACATAGCTTCCATTCATGCACCCTGCACACTTTCGGGCAAGCCTAACTCGAGAATGCGCAACGATCCACGTCTTTTGTCAAATGATCGGCCGGTCGGCTATCTCCGAGTGGTGCGCTGCTATCCGTTTACCGATGCGCTCGTCATGGCCTCAGCTTCATGAGGTGCCTCCGGCACCGCAAGATCTGCTCCAAGAGCCTTGAGCCCGGCACGTGATGCCAGCAGCAGCAGTTCTTCGAGAGTGCTCCGCCCTAAGAACAGCACAGCCAAAGCCAAATGCGAAGTTCTTCCAAACTCAGACTCAGCTGCGCTGTGAGGTTTGGGCGTAAGCACGACATCTGAGCCATCATGTGCTCCTCGAGCTCCTGTCACACCGTCTCGAAACATGGCAGCGAGGCACCGAGCGTGCTGCTTGGACCCTGCTCTCCCAGGCTGCTGAACTAGTCTAGTTCAGACCCAATGGTTCGGTGAGAGAAGGGACAGGTTCCTTCAGGCTCCTGAAGAGCTTCGGACATGATTGGACCATGTCTCAGGTCTATGAATCTATGATACCGGGAGGGAAGGTGGCAGGAATGGCGCCTACCTGCATACTTTCACATCTTTTTCCAGGCCTCCTGGTCAGACGAAGGCCTCGCGTCCCATGCACTCTGACCAAACGAGACCACGAAAAGCCAGTCAAACAACCCAATTCTGGCTGCCAGTAGGGTCGAGGCTCTTTGATCGGAGTGTTGACCTGCTGCGCCGACCGATCGCAGCGTTGGGGCGAAAGGCACAGCAAAGATACTGATGGACTTTGCACGGAGCCCTTCGGCACCTCCATCTGCGAAGCTGAGGAGCGTGGAGACCACAGTGTCTGTCAGAAGCGACAGGAATGTCGCTCGTTAGTTCCATGACTCAGGTGCTGACAGCTGAGTAGCCCACCTTAAGCTGCTGAGGGCCTCAAGGAGAACATGTTTGGATACACGCGCGGAGCACTGCGAGTTCGTAGCTGAGGCATGGCACTCGGCGTCTTGCCGAAGCTCACCTCCAGCAGATCGTTTCACACATTCTGCAAAGGTTCGATCTACGCAGGCCCGCACCGCAGGAGGCTCATGAAGCATGGGACCAGAAAAACAGCGCAGCACCTGCACGAGCAGCACGTGGAATGTCATCTGCCAAGGGTTCGCAACTTCTTGAATGGGTTGTAGAGAGATGCATCAGAAAGATCAACCACAACTGATAGGCCCGTCTATTTCTGTGGCAAGAAGATTCATGCTTTCTCAACGGAGAATTGGGGATGATTGCAGAGTTCTCCTCCGGTCCCCTTGAGCCCCGTCGTCTCCATCCTTCCCTTTGCATGAGTGCAGGCCAGTTTGCCCAGCCGTCCATACATGCGAATTGTGCAGAAGCACGTGTGCACAGGCATGATTCCTTGCCTTCGTTTCATGAGAGCGTGAGATGCCCTCAGCGGGCGTCATGCTTCAGCTTGCATCGCGGCATTTCTGTTCGTAGCTGGAAGATGAAAGCATGCTTCGGAGGCATCCCACCCGTGGTGAGAAGAGCATACGGCAGAATGAGTGCGAAGGACACATGTATATCCGCTGGCTCAAAAGGTTTAACAGTTTAACATGGCTGCCAAATCCGCGAAGCAGAAGCATCCCGTCAGGACAGAGCTTATAGCAGCTCGCATTCTGGGCTGCCCAGCTCTTCTGAACTGTCACGCAGCAAGGCAACAATCCATTTCCCTGGACCGCCTCCCGCAGAACCTCCGGAGCCAAGGCAGCATCCATTTCGGCCACCTCGGGTGAGCCGCGGGCAGCAAACGTGGAATTCCTTGCAATTCTTGGACCGGCCTCAAGAGCTCGTAGGCGTTTTGCAGGGGGTTCCTCCATCTCCGTTTCCATGCGTGAGCCGGTGCCAGCTTCGTCCTGGCTGAGCGTGCTGTACTGGCCACCAAATGCTAGCTCCACGCTGTGCTGAGCTCCCCCATCTGCCACAATCACAAAGCGCGACTGCAGCTGCTTCGAAGACACTTGGTAGGGTCTCAGCTCATCTGTGGGCTCCTCATCTGCATCAGCGGGGTTTGACACGTCCCGTGGCCGGTTGGCGAGCTGATGCGTCAAGCCACAACCCCACACAAATAGGTCTCCGCCCTCCGTGCTGGCCAACATGTGATGGCCTCCACAACGCAGTGCTCGAACTCTCGGAAGCCCCTGAACTTCTCGAGGCTGCAGCACCGGAGGGTCCTGCAACAATGCTGGAAGCCCAACTATGGATGCAGCTTCCAAAACCTGCCAGAGACTAATGACTAGCTGACTAGCTTGCCAAGACCAAGACGATAAACAAACAGAGCTGAAGGAGATCAACAAAAGCGGAAGCTCGCACTTGCCTTCTCCCCCAAGCCAATGCCGCATTCCTCTGCCTTGCCCCAAGTGAACACGCGTCCATCCACCAGCGCTGCGGTGCTGTGCAGTCCACCACCTATCCAGGAAGCCTTTCGCACAGCAGGCACTGCCTGAAGCTGCTGCACGGCCATGCTCACAAACCCAAGTCCAACCTGGCCATCGCCGTTCAACCCACAGCCGAACACGGCACCGTCCTCGAATGCTATGAAGCTGCACTCGGCGCTGGCATGCACCCCGGAAGCAACAAGCTCCCCAGCAGCCACTTCCAGCGGTACGTGTTGTGGCTGTAGCAGTTTCTGCTTCTCTGGTTTGGGGACCTCCCGCTCTGCAACCTGCAGAACCAGGGCAGTTGCACCTTGCACCACGGCTTGCTGGACCTGTTCGGCAGTCATGGAAGTAGCAGCACGCACAGAGCCATCAGCTTCATGAATGCGCACGACCTGCTCGCCAGCGACTTCACAGCCTCCGCCTTCACGCGGTGCCAGGCCTGCAACGCTGCCCGAGCACGGCAGGGTGCGCTCGGAGAATCCACAAGCGTCTTGCAGACCAAGCTGTCCCGTGGCATTAGAGCCCCACGCAAACACCTGATTGTGACCACTCGGAGCTGCTAGCGCCACCGTGTGGTTAGCACCACTTGCAATTTGCAGGCACCCCTCCAGGACCAGCGTCGGTTCTGCGCTCTTCTCCAGGACCTCCGCTTCCTGCTTGCGCTTCTGTGCGATGCCGATATAACCGTTGGAATCCTTGTACGTTCCCCATAACCAAACCCGGCGCTTCTCATCCAAGGCACAGCTATGGCAGTCTCCACACGAAACATGGCGAACGGCGACTCCACTTGGCATTGTCACCAGATGTGGCTCTACATCCGACGGGCCACCGTCCGAACCATCCGAAGGAGCTCTGCCCAGGGCCCCGTCATCGTTGCAGCCCCAGCTGTACAAAGCTCCCCCTGTGGAAAGGCAGAGAACGTGCATGGCACCGACAGCAATTTCGCAAATGCTTTTCCCGATTAGGGATTTCAAGATCGTGGGCTTCTTGCGCTCACGCATATCATCACCCAAACCTAGCTGATCGCATTCGCCACTTCCATGAACAAAAACATCTCCGACAGGTACCTTCCCTGTCGCAGTGAAGTCCGGCTGCTCTTCCAACACCTTCGTCTTGGCGCTGGCCAGTGCGGAATCTGCAGTGATTCCAAAGTTGACGGCTTGGCTTCCGAAACCGAAGGTGACAGCACCCGTGCCGCTGCCGCTCTGGCCAAAGCCGCTGCCAAAACTTCCAGGTGCGCCGATACCGCCAGATTGTGCAGGAGTGCCCGCGCTGAAGCCAAAAACCACCGGCCCAGCTGTGCCTGTGCCAAAGGCCGTGCTGCTTGTGCCAGCACTCGCGAAACCAAAGCCTGTTGGCTTCACAGACTCAGGAGAAGTCTCAGGAGCGAAGATGAGCTTGCTCGCACCATCGACTGCAGACTGCACGCCATCTGCAACTTCCTTCTCTGTGGCTCTCCTCTTCATCGGCGGCTCCGAGGCAGGATCACTACTCACAACGGCCGAGACACTGGCACTAACGGGCGCAGCTCCGTCCTGGCTGAGCGCGCTGTACTGGCCACCAAATGCTAGCTCCACGCTGTGCTGAGCTCCCCCATCTGCCACAATCACAAAGCGCGACTGCAGCTGCTTCGAAGACACTTGGTAGGGTCTCAGCTCATCTGTGGGCTCCTCATCTGCATCAGCGGGGTTTGACACGTCCCGTGGCCGGTTGGCGAGCTGATGCGTCAAGCCACAACCCCACACAAATAGGTCTCCGCCCTCCGTGCTGGCCAACATGTGATGGCCTCCACAACGCAGTGCTCGAACTCTCGGAAGCCCCTGAACTTCTCGAGGCTGCAGCACCGGAGGGTCCTGCAACAATGCTGGAAGCCCAACTATGGATGCAGCTTCCAAAACCTGCCAGAGACTAATGACTAGCTGACTAGCTTGCCAAGACCAAGACGATAAACAAACAGAGCTGAAGGAGATCAACAAAAGCGGAAGCTCGCACTTGCCTTCTCCCCCAAGCCAATGCCGCATTCCTCTGCCTTGCCCCAAGTGAACACGCGTCCATCCACCAGCGCTGCGGTGCTGTGCAGTCCACCACCTATCCAGGAAGCCTTTCGCACAGCAGGCACTGCCTGAAGCTGCTGCACGGCCATGCTCACAAACCCAAGTCCAACCTGGCCATCGCCGTTCAACCCACAGCCGAACACGGCACCGTCCTCGAATGCTATGAAGCTGCACTCGGCGCTGGCATGCACCCCGGAAGCAACAAGCTCCCCAGCAGCCACTTCCAGCGGTACGTGTTGTGGCTGTAGCAGTTTCTGCTTCTCTGGTTTGGGGACCTCCCGCTCTGCAACCTGCAGAACCAGGGCAGTTGCACCTTGCACCACGGCTTGCTGGACCTGTTCGGCAGTCATGGAAGTAGCAGCACGCACAGAGCCATCAGCTTCATGAATGCGCACGACCTGCTCGCCAGCGACTTCACAGCCTCCGCCTTCACGCGGTGCCAGGCCTGCAACGCTGCCCGAGCACGGCAGGGTGCGCTCGGAGAATCCACAAGCGTCTTGCAGACCAAGCTGTCCCGTGGCATTAGAGCCCCACGCAAACACCTGATTGTGACCACTCGGAGCTGCTAGCGCCACCGTGTGGTTAGCACCACTTGCAATTTGCAGGCACCCCTCCAGGACCAGCGTCGGTTCTGCGCTCTTCTCCAGGACCTCCGCTTCCTGCTTGCGCTTCTGTGCGATGCCGATATAACCGTTGGAATCCTTGTACGTTCCCCATAACCAGACCCGGCGCTTCTCATCCAAGGCACAGCTATGGCAGTCTCCACACGAAACATGGCGAACGGCGACTCCACTTGGCATTGTCACCAGATGTGGCTCTACATCCGACGGGCCACCGTCCGAACCATCCGAAGGAGCTCTGCCCAGGGCCCCGTCATCGTTGCAGCCCCAGCTGTACAAAGCTCCCCCTGTGGAAAGGCAGAGAACGTGCATGGCACCGACAGCAATTTCGCAAATGCTTTTCCCGATTAGGGATTTCAAGATCGTGGGCTTCTTGCGCTCACGCATATCATCACCCAAACCTAGCTGATCGCATTCGCCACTTCCATGAACAAAAACATCTCCGACAGGTACCTTCCCTGTCGCAGTGAAGTCCGGCGGCTCGTCCAACACCTTCGTCCAACTCCTTTGTTTGAACCCAGGCGCTATGCCATCATCAGTCCAACTCCTTGATTTGGCAACTGCGGAATCTGCAGTGGTTCCAAAGGTGACGGCTTGGCTTCCGAAACCGAAGGTGACAGCACCCGTGCCGCTGCCGCTCTGGCCAAAGCCGCTGCCGAAGCCACTGCCGAAGCCGCTGCCAAAACTTCCAGGTGCGCCAGCACCGCCAGATTGTGCAGGAGTGCCCGCACTGAAGCCAAAAACCAGTGACCCAGCTGTGCTTGTGCCAGAGGCCGTGCCACTTGTGCTAGCGCTCCCGAAACCAAAGCCTGTCGGTTTTGCATCGGATGAGCTTCGAAACATGGCTATGGTCGAGGCCTTGCGGGCTTCCTTCTCGGCCTCAATCTTGGCTGCATCTTCTGCAGAAAAGCCCGGCTTGTAGCTTTCACAGGCCTTGCATTGGATCGTGCTCTCATCCCAGCGCAAGGAGCAGGTGTCGCACTTCCACTTGCCATCATCCAAGTTCGCGAAGCCAGCGAAGCAGTTTTCCTGGGGGAGCCTCATGCTTTCTTCGATGGATTGGGCGGCAGTTCCTGCGCTGAAGCCGAAAACCACTGACCCGGCTGTGCCTGTTCCAAAGCTCGTGCCACTTGTGCCAGCACTTCCGAAACCAAAGCCTGTTGGCTTCACAGACTCAGGAGAAGTCTCAGAAGCGAAGATGAGCTTGCTCGCATCATCGACTGCAGACTGCACGCCATCTGCGACGTCCTTCTCTGTGGCTCTCCTCTTCATCGGCGGCTCCGAGGCAGGATCACTACTCACAACGGCCGAGACACTGGCACTAATGGGCGCAGCTCCGTCCTGGCTTAGCGTGCTGCACTGGCCACCAAATGCTAGCTCCACGCTGTGCTGAGCTCCCCCATCTGCCACAATCACAAAGCGCGACTGCAGCTGCTTCGAAGACACTTGGTAGGGTCTCAGCTCATCTGTGGGCTCCTCATCTGCATCAGCGGGGTTTGACACGTCCCGTGGCCGGTTGGCGAGCTGATGCGTCAAGCCACAACCCCACACAAATAGGTCTCCGCCCTCCGTGCTGGCCAACATGTGATGGCCTCCACAACGCAGTGCTCGAACTCTCGGAAGCCCCTGAACTTCTCGAGGCTGCAGCACCGGAGGGTCCTGCAACAATGCTGGAAGCCCAAGTATGCATGCAGCTTCCGAAACCAGAGACTAATGACTAGATGACTAGCTTGCCAAGACAAAGACGATAAACAAACACAGCTGAAGGAGATCAACAAAAGCGGAAGCTCGCGCTTGCCTTCTCCCCCAAGCCAATGCCGCATTCCTCTGCCTTGCCCCAAGTGAACACGCGTCTATCCACCAGCGCTGCGGTGCTGTGCAGTCCACCACCTATCCAGGAAGCCTTTCGCACAGCAGGCACTGCCTGAAGCTGCTGCACGGCCATGCTCACAAACCCAAGTCCAACCTGGCCATCGCCGTTCAACCCACAACCGAAAACGGCACCGTCCTCGAATGTTATGAAGCTGCACTCGGCGCTGGCATGCACCCCGGAAGCAACAAGCTCCCCAGCAGCCACTTCCAGCGGTACGTGTTGTGGCTGTAGCAGTTTCTGCTTCTCTGGTTTGGGGACCTCTCGCTCTGCAACCTGCAGAACCAGGGCAGTTGCACCTTGCACCACGGCTTGCTGGACCTGTTCGGCAGTCATGGAAGTAGCAGCACGCACAGAGCCATCAGCTTCATGAATGCGCACGACCTGCTCGCCAGCGACTTCACAGCCTCCGCCTTCACGCGGTGCCAGGCCTGCAACGCTGCCCGAGCACGGCAGGGTGCGCTCGGAGAATCCACAAGCGTCTTGCAGACCAAGCTGTCCCGTGGCATTAGAGCCCCACGCAAACACCTGATAGTGACCACTCGGAGCTGCTAGCGCCACCGTGTGGTTGGCACCACTTGCAATTTGCAGGCACCCCTCCAGGACCAGCGTCGGTTCTGCGCTCTTCTCCAGGACCTCCGCTTCCTGCTTGCGCTTCTGTGCGATGCCGATATAACCGTTGGAATCCTTGTACGTTCCCCATAACCAGACCCGGCGCTTCTCATCCAAGGCACAGCTATGGCAGTCTCCACACGAAACATGGCGAACGGCGACTCCACTTGGCATTGTCACCAGATGTGGCTCTACATCCGACGGGCCACCGTCCGAACCATCCGAAGGAGCTCTGCCCAGGGCCCCGTCATCGTTGCAGCCCCAGCTGTACAAAGCTCCCCCTGTGGAAAGGCAGAGAACGTGCATGGCACCGACAGCAATTTCGCAAATGCTTTTCCCGATTAGGGATTTCAAGATCGTGGGCTTCTTGCGCTCACGCATATCATCACCCAAACCTAGCTGATCGCATTCGCCACTTCCATGAACAAAAACATCTCCGACAGGTACCTTCCCTGTCGTTGTGAAGTCCGGCTGCTCTTCCAACACCTTCGTCTTGGCGCTGGCCAGTGCGGAATCTGCAGTGGTTCCAAAGGTGACGGCTTGGCTTCCGAAACCGAAGGTGACAGCACCCGTGCCGCTGCCGCTCTGGCCAAAGCCGCTGCCAAAACTTCCAGGTGCGCCGATACCGCCAGATTGTGCAGGAGTGCCCGCGCTGAAGCCAAAAACCAGTGACCCAGCTGTGCCTGTGCCAAAGGCCGTGCTGCTTGTGCCAGCACTCGCGAAACCAAAGCCTGTTGGCTTCACAGACTCAGGAGAAGTCTCAGGAGCGAAGATGAGCTTGCTCGCACCATCGACTGCAGACTGCACGCCATCTGCAACTTCCTTCTCTGTGGCTCTCCTCTTCATCGGCGGCTCCGAGGCAGGATCACTACTCACAACGGCCGAGACACTGGCACTAACGGGCGCAGCTCCGTCCTGGCTGAGCGTGCTGTACTGGCCACCAAATGCTAGCTCCACGCTGTGCTGAGCTCCCCCATCTGCCACAATCACAAAGCGCGACTGCAGCTGCTTCGAAGACACTTGGTAGGGTCTCAGCTCATCTGTGGGCTCCTCATCTGCATCAGCGGGGTTTGACACGTCCCGTGGCCGGTTGGCGAGCTGATGCGTCAAGCCACAACCCCACACAAATAGGTCTCCGCCCTCCGTGCTGGCCAACATGTGATGGCCTCCACAACGCAGTGCTCGAACTCTCGGAAGCCCCTGAACTTCTCGAGGCTGCAGCACCGGAGGGTCCTGCAACAATGCTGGAAGCCCAAGTATGCATGCAGCTTCCAAAACCTGCCAGAGACTAATGACTAGCTGACTAGCTTGCCAAGACAAAGACGATAAACAAACACAGCTGAAGGAGATCAACAAAAGCGGAAGCTCGCACTTGCCTTCTCCCCCAAGCCAATGCCGCATTCCTCCGCCTTGCCCCAAGTGAACACGCGTCCATCCACCAGCGCTGCGGTGCTGTGCAGTCCACCACCTATCCAGGAAGCCTTTCGCACAGCAGGCACTGCCTGAAGCTGCTGCACGGCCATGCTCACAAACCCAAGTCCAACCTGGCCATCGCCGTTCAACCCACAACCGAAAACGGCACCGTCCTCGAATGTTATGAAGCTGCACTCGGCGCTGGCATGCACCCCGGAAGCAACAAGCTCCCCAGCAGCCACTTCCAGCGGTACGTGTTGTGGCTGTAGCAGTTTCTGCTTCTCTGGTTTGGGGACCTCTCGCTCTGCAACCTGCAGAACCAGGGCAGTTGCACCTTGCACCACGGCTTGCTGGACCTGTTCGGCAGTCATGGAAGTAGCAGCACGCACAGAGCCATCAGCTTCATGAATGCGCACGACCTGCTCGCCAGCGACTTCACAGCCGCCGCCTTCACGCGGTGCCAGGCCTGCAACGCTGCCCGAGCACGGCAGGGTGCGCTCGGAGAATCCACAAGCGTCTTGCAGACCAAGCTGTCCCGTGGCATTAGAGCCCCACGCAAACACCTGATAGTGACCACTCGGAGCTGCTAGCGCCACCGTGTGGTTGGCACCACTTGCAATTTGCAGGCACCCCTCCAGGACCAGCGTCGGTTCTGCGCTCTTCTCCAGGACCTCCGCTTCCTGCTTGCGCTTCTGTGCGATGCCGATATAACCGTTGGAATCCTTGTACGTTCCCCATAACCAGACCCGGCGCTTCTCATCCAAGGCACAGCTATGGCAGTCTCCACACGAAACATGGCGAACGGCGACTCCACTTGGCATTGTCACCAGATGTGGCTCTACATCCGACGGGCCACCGTCCGAACCATCCGAAGGAGCTCTGCCCAGGGCCCCGTCATCGTTGCAGCCCCAGCTGTACAAAGCTCCCCCTGTGGAAAGGCAGAGAACGTGCATGGCACCGACAGCAATTTCGCAAATGCTTTTCCCGATTAGGGATTTCAAGATCGTGGGCTTCTTGCGCTCACGCATATCATCACCCAAACCTAGCTGATCGCATTCGCCACTTCCATGAACAAAAACATCTCCGACAGGTACCTTCCCTGTCGCAGTGAAGTCCGGCGGCTCGTCCAACACCTTCGTCTTGGCGCTGGCCAGTGCGGAATCTGCAGTGATTCCAAAGTTGACGGCTTGGCTTCCGAAACCGAAGGTGACAGCACCCGTGCCGCTGCCGCTCTGGCCAAAGCCGCTGCCAAAACTTCCAGGTGCGCCGATACCGCCAGATTGTGCAGGAGTGCCCGCACTGAAGCCAAAAACCAGTGACCCAGCTGTGCTTGTGCCAAAGGCCGTGCCACTTGTGCTAGCGCTCCCGAAAGCAAAGCCTGTCGGTTTTGCATCGGATGAGCTTCGAAACATGGCTATGGTCGAGGCCTTGCGGGCTTCCTTCTCGGCCTCAATCTTGGCTGCATCTTCTGCAGAAAAGCCCGGCTTGTAGCTTTCACAGGCCTTGCATTGGATCGTGCTCTCATCCCAGCGCAAGGAGCAGGTGTCGCACTTCCACTTGCCATCATCCAAGTTCGCGAAGCCAGCGAAGCAGTTTTCCTGGGGGAGCTCCAAGTCTTCAAAGTCCGCGAAATCAGGGAGTGCGTCATCGGGCTCCCCCGATGCCATGACTGCTACATACTACTGCTGGACGTGCGGGCTTGAAATTGGTTGGGGTTGTCCTGCGCTTTGCAGATCATGGAGTGCACTGGCTCCTTCGTGGGATGATGCCAGCTTGCTTTGACAAGATCTAAGTAAACTACTTGGCTCGCATTGCTCTTCTAGCCACTCTCTTAATCTTCAAGCCCTCCGTGAGCTGGAAGCAGTGGCGACAACAGCTCATGCAGTATGCGTCGCGTTGTCATGCGCGCGTCTATGCCACCACGGCTCGACGCTAGCCTTAAACCGAATATCTGCGCTTGTGCGCTCTGTGTCACACTTTCAGCACAATGACCGAAAGGTTCAATCCGAACCTCTATGCTTCATTCGGCGCAGGTTCCTTTTTACCCCACGAACGGACGTGCATCATCTCCACTGAAGCCGGCGCGCGACATGCGAAACATAGAGGGTTGAAATGACAGTTGCGGCCTTGAATGTGGCTGAACAGCGGGCGTGGAGAAGTTCCTAGCTCCGGCAGCACTGCAGGCTGCGATCGTCGAAGCCCACGAAGTCATCATCAAGGCAATGGCAAGCACTACATCTACAACTGCAACGCTGTGACAATGTTCGATGCGCATCCGGCCGTAACAGCAGTCATTGGGTGTTACTGTTCCTGGTACAAATGGCATGCCGAAACACCCACTCTGCAACTGTGGTGTGTCAGCGGCAGACCGCCGATATGGAATGAACTCAGGCTGTTCGTGGCCAGTTGTACTCCAACCGCTTCGTGTTCCGGCTGATGGGGCAGATATTGGAAGGGTGTGCAGACCCATGGGCACCCGATCGCAGGTGACCGGCAAGCGCATCTGATATCACGTTGACAGCTTCGTCCTGCCTGAGCGTGCTGTACTCGCCTCCCCATGCTAGCTCCACGCTGTGCTGAGCTCCCCCATCTGCCACAATCACAAAGCGCGACTGCAGCTGCTTCGAAGACACGTGGTAGGGTCTCAGCTCATCTGTGGGCTCCTCATCTGCATCAGCGGGGTTTGACACGTCCCGTGGCCGGTTGGCGAGCTGATGCGTCAAGCCACAACCCCACACAAATAGGTCTCCGCCCTCCGTGCTGGCCAACATGTGATGGCCTCCACAACGCAGTGCTCGAACTCTCGGAAGCCCCTGAACTTCTCGAGGCTGCAGCACCGGAGCATCCTGCAACATGCACTTGGTTTCAAAAGAATCGGGCTGTGCGATGGAAAGCTCTCTTGTGATTCTGAATATGATACCTACAGCGCAGCCATCAAACCCTGCTGCAGGTTCAGGATTGGTCTGGTGGGCCCGGTTCAATTTCAAACGCTTACAAACTCGCCTTCTCCCCCAAGCCGATGCCGCATTCCTCTGCCTTGCCCCAAGTGAACACGCGTCCATCCACCAGCGCTGCGGCACTGTCCAGCCCACCGCCTATCCAAGAAGCCCATCGCACAGCGGGCACTGCCTGAAGCTGCTGCACGGCCATGCTCACAAACCCAAGTCCAACCTGGCCATGGCCGTTCAACCCACAACCGAAAACGGCACCGTCCTCGAATGTTATGAAGCTGCACTCGGCGCTGGCATGCACCCCGGAAGCAACAAGCTCCCCAGCAGCCACTTCCAGCGGTACGTGTTGTGGCTGTAGCAGTTTCTGCTTCTCTGGTTTGGGGACCTCTCGCTCTGCAACCTGCAGAACCAGGGCAGTTGCACCTTGCACCACGGCTTGCTGGACCTGTTCGGCAGTCATGGAAGTAGCAGCACGCACAGAGCCATCAGCTTCATGAATGCGCACGACCTGCTCGCCAGCGACTTCACAGCCTCCGCCTTCACGCGGTGCCAGGCCTGCAACGCTGCCCGAGCACGGCAGGGTGCGCTCGGAGAATCCACAAGCGTCTTGCAGACCAAGCTGTCCCGTGGCATTAGAGCCCCACGCAAACACCTGATAGTGACCACTCGGAGCTGCTAGCGCCACCGTGTGGTTGGCACCACTTGCAATTTGCAGGCACCCCTCCAGGACCAGCGTCGGTTCTGCGCTCTTCTCCAGGACCTCCGCTTCCTGCTTGCGCTTCTGTGCGATGCCGATATAACCGTTGGAATCCTTGTACGTTCCCCATGACCAGACCCGGCGCTTCTCATCCAAGGCACAGCTATGGCAGTCTCCACACGAAACATGGCGAACGGCGACTCCACTTGGCATTGTCACCAGATGTGGCTCTACATCCGACGGGCCACCGTCCGAACCATCCGAAGGAGCTCTGCCCAGGGCCCTATCATCGTTGCAGCCCCAGCTGTACAAAGCTCCCCCTGTGGAAAGGCAAAGAACGTGCATGGCACCCACAGCAATTTCGCAAATGCTTTTCCCGATCAGGGACTTCAAGATCGTGGGCTTCTTGCGCTCTCGCATATCGTCACCCAAACCTAGCTGATCGCATTCGCCACTTCCATGAACATGAACATCTCCGACTGTTACCTTCCCCGTCGTGAAGTCCGGCACGCGCACCAAGCCCTGCATGCCTACATGCCGTGGCTTCCGACTGATGAAGCGGCAGGTTCTTGGATGGTCAGAGAACACCGTGGCACATTGCCATGGCCGGCGGAATCTATGCGTTAGCCGTTGGCACCTTGCTTCCACAAACATCTGCACTGCTGTCGGTGTCAATTATACGTTTCCTTCAAGTTTTGCGAAGATGGGAAAGGATTGATCGGAACTATTCGTCATGAATCCGTAACTCAAAAATACTCAAGACGTGCTGACAGCGAACCAACCTGTGATAGCGGTACGTACAAGAAACCATTCGGGATTCACGTGGGTCCGCGAAGAATCCTTGGGAGTGACATCACTCAAGGAAAGGTCAACGGTCGAGGACCGGTAACGGTATCGTAAGTAACGGGTTCGCGACGCATGGCACGTCCACGGAATGCGAGCAGAGCGATGGTACAGTGTCACAATGAACTGCAAGCCGCGCTGCCCCAATTGCACAGGCGGGTCAGTCATGTCAGTCTTGGGGTGACACCCTGTGGCGCATGAGATTCAAAGTTCCGTCTGCGCTCTTTCTGCGGCCCGTCCACCTCTCCAAAAGTCCTTCTAAACTTTGTTGCACGCTTCCCTTGTACCAAGTTCCTGCATGACTGGCCGTCTCCTCTTGCACGCATCTGCTTAAGTCAAATTCAACACAACAGAATACAACAGAGAAGCTATCGGCTCGACCTCTGCAAATTCATACGGTTCAGGTGGTAAAACAACGGAGGTGGTATGAGGTGGTTGTTTTGATTTGCACGTTTTAGCGGCTGGAGTTCCGCAGTCTCTGTGCAAGAAGCAAGCACGGCTGCTACATTTTGGCGAGGTCAGTATCCTCCACGCCCGAGTCCAAGGCTGCAGCTCACTGGTGCGGGGGGAGACGGCTGGCAACAGGCGGAGCTTCTTCGTCGAAGCGATTCCAGTGAGGGAAACACCAAGGAGACTCGAAAGCAGCTCGAAATGTAAACTTAAACAATACAAATAAGGTGAAGGCAGCAGTGGTTGCAGGCCGCACCGGACGAGGCACGGCACGGGCCCCGCAGCGAGCGGACGAGCTGGACAGCCTCCGAACTCCTCGAGTGCGAAAAAAAACAGTGCGAGGAGGTACCGTAGGTACGTTCCTCAGCCCCGCGGGCACAGCGCCGAGCGGCGCCACGGTACTGCCGCTGGTGCCGGTGCGCACCTCCACTGGCATTGAGAAAACACAAGGGTGGTGTCAACAGCGAGTTGCGCTCCGCCCCAGGCAGGGGTCCAGTTGCAGTAACGTCAATCCGGCCGTCATCGAGGCGCTGGAAGGACAATTAGCAAGCGCAGCCGTGAAAGCTTGTGGATGGTCCCGATCGTTGCCTGCGTCAAGGCGGCAAGTGAAAATCAACAGCCGTGGAAGATTCATGCCATCCAAGCATTTGGGTCCTGCGCTGAGTCACACGTTCGATCCATGGCAACGAAAACAACAAAACACACCAGTGCGTGTTCGAGATGCTTTTCGCTGACGTAGACTCTGCATCTCGAGCACTGCTGTCCCAAAGTGCAGTCGTTCCCTCCGGGCCGGACTTCGTGGTACCCAGTGACGAATTCTGAGTTCTGCGGCTGCGGAGGTTCCGACTCGCACTGCCGCTGGCACCCAAGCGATGACGATGCGGGTGCCGTCTCGACAACCTGGGTGACCACCGGTCAGCTTGTGCCCAAGTCGGAGTGCTGGCAGGGAGGCCGGCGCGAGGGTCGCCACAAGCTGGCTTTGAGAGAACTCAACCATGATGTCCCCACCACCAACGGGCGGGGAGTGTTCGTGGAACATGGCTTGGCTTCAGCGGCGGTGGGGGGTTGGGGGGAAGGGGCAGCTTGCCCCCTCCCCCCCAAGCGCACACCATAACTATCCGGCTGCGATGTACAGTTGTTACGTCTTTTCGTGTCTGCGGAGCGATCGCGCTAAGATGCACTGAGTGTACATGGCAGCCGGCGGTCACAAAAACGACTGGCATCCCGCCGCGTCGACAACGTAGATTATGTGGCCATTTGTCTGTGTTCGTGGAACTATAGCATGGTGGACTTTATTTACATGGCGGCATATGAAAGCTTGGAGCGCTGGCACGGAGATGCACTGAATGCACATGGCAGCTGGCGGGTACAAAAGCGACCGGGTTCCAGCTGCGTCGAAGGCTGGGTTTGCCTTGGCTTGCCTTGGTTTCAGCGGGGGGGGAGCCTGCCCTCTCCCCCCCAAAGCACACACCATAACTATCCAGCTGCAATGTGTATTCTTTTTTGTCGCTTTTTGCTTGTGTCTGTGGAGCGATGGCACGGAGATGCACTGAGTGTACATGGGAGCGGGCGGTTTCAAAATGGCCACAAAACCGACTGAGCTCCAGGCACGTCGAAGATATAGATTCTGTGGCACGTTGTCTGTGTTAATGGAACAGCGATGGCAAACGTTGACAAAAACATGGCGGCATTAAACAAAATGGCTTGGCTTGGCTTGGCTTGGCTTGCTTTGAGCGGGGGTGGGGCTGGCCTCCCGCCGCATCGAAAACAGAGATTCTGTGGCCATTTGTCCGTGTTCGAGGTTTTTGTGGCTTTTTGCAGCGCGATGGCACGGAGATGCACTGAGTGTACATGGGAGCGGGCGGTTTCAAAACTGCCACAAAACCGACTGAGCTCCAGGCACGTCGAAGATATAGATTCAGTGGCACGTTGTCTGTGTTAATGGAACAGCGATGGCAAACGTTGACAAAAACATGGCGGCATTAAACAAAATGGCTTGGCTTGGCTTTCTGTGAGCGGGGGTGGGGGGGGAGGGGGCGGCCTGCCCGCTCCCCCCAAGCACACACCATAACTATCCCGCTGCGATGTACAGATTTTGTGTCCTGTTGTGTCTGTGGAGCGATGGCACTGAAATGCACTGAGTGTACGTGGCAGCCGGCGGTGACAAAAACGACTGGCCTCCCGCCGCGCCGAAAACATAGATTCTGTGGCCATTTGTCCGTGCTCGTGGAACTTTGGGTGGATTTTCATATACATGGCGGCGTATGAAAGCGTGGAGCGATGGCACGGAGATGCACTGAATGTACATGGCAGCTGGCGGTTACAAAAACGACCGGGTTCCAGCTGCGTCGAAGGCTGGGCTTGGCTTGGTTTCAGCGGGGGTGGGGGGTTGGGGATCCCCCCTGTTTATCTCGGGGGGGGGGGGGTCGGGAAAAGAAAATTTTCCTGACCCGCGTTTTTTTCCTGGCATGGGGGGTGTGTGTTGGGGGGTTAGGGACCCTGTGTCTAAGAGCGGCTGAAAATCAGCAGCGACGTTGATGGGGATGGACAGCTTGGACAAGTGTGCTCAGAGATGTCGCGAAATCTCCCTCTCTCCTTCTTCCTGTCCCTGTCGCACCCGTCCCGTTCCCGTTCCCGTTCTCGTTCACGCTCCCGCTCCCGCTCCCGCTCTCGCTCTCGCTCTCGCTCTCGCTCTCGCTCTCGCTCTCGCTCTCTCTCTCTCTCTCTCTCTCTCTCTCTCTCTCTCTCTCTCTCTCTCTCTCTCTCTCTCTCTCTCTCTCTCTCTCTCTCTCTCTCTCTCTCTCTCTCTCTCTCTTCTTCTGCTGGGCGTGAAAGGCGTGCGAGGCCTTTCGGCCACATGGGCCCCCCATATGTTATGGGGCATTCGGAAAGGCGTGACAAGTCAGCGAGTTCCCCTGATAAGCAAGGTAAATATATTGGACTATGAAAGATCAGGGTTCATCAGCTGATTGCTCGACACATGCAATGGTGATTACAGTACTGTATGTCCCCCATGTACATCAACTGCTCCTACACGCAATACAAGCAGCCACAGATTCTCGGGGGGACAACACTTTAAACCGCTCCACGGTTCGCAAGTGCATGGCTCACTTCAGTGCTTACACGTGATGGCGTCCCCCTCTCTCTCTCTCTCTCTCGCTCTCTCTCTCTCTCTCTCTCTCTCTCTCTCTCTCTCTCTCTCTCTCCCTCTCGCTGTCTCCCTCTCGCTGGGATGTGCATGTCCGAGTCGAGTAGACCCCAACCTCGACAGAACCAGACATCGGCTTCTTGGTGCAAGAGACGTGTCACTCCGGGGCTAGCACCATGGTAAAGTCACATCCACGAAACCTCGGGGCACGGAAAGTGACTTGCCGACAGGAAAATGTCAAGAGCAGCAAGAGTACTGAGCACCCCGCCACCGTGGTCAAGCCATACCCTTCCGGATGAAACCTCGGGGCATGGAACATGCCGGCATGAGCAAATCAAGAGCAGGAAACAGAGCACTGCAAGCACTGCATATGCGACTTTTTTTTGTGCCCCTCGTCCGGGTGCGTGATTCGCAACTCTAGCCAGGAGGGCACAAGCGACACCAGGACAGGTCAACATATGTGGCTGGAAACTTGGCCGTCTTCAAGCTAGCATGCTGTGTTGGCACCCGGTGTCGCATCAGCCCCGAAAGCCCCGATCGTGTGTTGGAGCTTTGCTCCAGTCACGAAGCCCCCCTAAACCACTAAGACCCCAGTGACGATTCCACTCCATGAACGACCACGAAAGCTCTGCGAATCGTCACCCGTGGTTTTCTTTATCACAGGGTACTTCAGGATGCCTTGACCTTGGCCTCCGCTACCTTGGGAATGCGGAAAGCCGAAGTCCTCATGTACTGCCAGGCTGCCAAGGATGCCGGTGTCAAAAGGATGCGTAGCCTGCTTGCACTGATCGCCTGCCTCGAAATTGCGAGCTCCCCCAGCACATCTTCCGCCTCGATCACCAATGGCTGAGAGGCACAAGATGTCTCGAACCAGCCGCCCTCCTTCTCTGAGAACTCCGTGCAATGCAAGACCCGAGTGGAGGACGATGACAAGTCCTCCCAGGTGACGTGATGTCCCCCTGTGACCGGAAGCTCCATGGAAAGCTCATGCAAGTCTTTTAAGAAATGCTGCACCATGTGCAACACCTTGACAGCATCAGGATTCTTATGAACGGAGAGCCAGTAGAGGATACCTTCGACACCCTGG